TGGTTTTTAGGGGGCACAGGCTCGTGACACCTGAAGAATCTCGGCTTTCATCATGAGGCGTCACAATTCTTCCTTCAACTTCTAGGACAGAGTTTAAATAGTTCAACGTGTTTATTCTGGTTAGTGTTTTTTAACAAGATTCTTTTCTACGGGATGAGGCTGTCGAAGCCAAGCCCAGTTTTACCTTTTTACTTTAGCTTGTGACCGGCAGTAACTCCAGAAGTGCTGTGGGCGGAGTTATATATATATATATATGTATTGCATAAAATATCCTTGATCAAAGTTATCGTTATCAAATCTACAGCATTCATACAACAAATCATGAGTCAATGATTTCCCCTGTTTAATTGTTTCTCATAGCTGAATTTCTTTTTGTTTTTGAGTTGCATGAATAAACGATTCACGTCGGTGTAAAAATCGCATTCACATTTTCCTAGTTACAAGCACTTTTTAGAATTACTATAACTTTATCATTTATATTCTATAGTCGTAATATATTCAGTATAATCTTAAAATGCGGAATAAACCCAAAAAGCGTAAAGTAATTTTATTGGTCTAGTACAATATTGACATACATTCATAGGCGTTATTGAAGCAAAATATTAATTCATGGTCATTTAATACTTTGATATACTTGTGAAACATTGTAAAATAAATTTAACCGGGTACAAAATGTATGAAAGTTACAGTTGCTTTGAAATGCTTGAGAAGAAAATAGAATTAAAAAGGAGCAATATCTGTTGCATCTAATTGGTAAGGTTTTTTATAGAAAATGAGTTTTACTGAGAAGACATTTCAAAAGTCGATTTTTCAGAGAATATCAAGTTACATGTTAAAATATGGAATCCCCACAGATAAAATGTTTCCCTTTACTGGAAATCGATTTCGTACGATGTATAATTACTCGTTTTAGCAAAATGCTCTCTTTGACTTGAATTGCTCCTTTCTTCGACAGTTTATAATGGTATAAGATTAGAATTCCATAGCCAATCTGATCTATGAATAAACTGCATTTAAATCATTATTAGAAAAGAGTAATGTTATCCCCTAACCGATATTCTAGACTGAAATTTCATGAATTTTTTTTTGTCAGATATGCATATTGTTTGGACTGCCTTGATATACTCACTTTTGGTACAAGCTAAGATGGATTATTCTCAGCATTAAAACCTAGGATGAGCGTTGTGCCTTATTCGAGACTCAACAGATTGATGTACTTTCATCCTAAAGTTGATGTTTACTCTAAGAAATGAATACAGCACCTATGGTTACAAACGCCAACTCACTATCCACTGATCTACTGAGTTCAGACAACCATGCATTTGCATATGTGGTATGACATTTATATCACTGTTTGAAGCGTTTTGTATTACCTTTTCAACATTCAACTGACGAGCCTAAATGGATCAAAATGCAAGTCCTGGATTCAACTGATGGTCAAAATTCATTGCATTTATGTAGATTTCCTTTGGTTTCAACAGCAACATAGTAATTAGTAAGTCGGCAACTATTTGAACGACAAATCGGTAATATCGTCAAGTTATATATACTTTATATATTGTCTCGTAGACACTGGTGATATGGTAAAAATAGATATTGGAAAAGACTTGCGAAATTCTAGGAATATTACGAATTCTGAATCATGAGTTATAATCTCTTTGATCTACTCTTCACATAGAAACAACAGGAATTCAAAATATTTGTACTGCAGAACACTATTTTCAAACGTTTAGTTTTATACGTTCCATTTACAATTGGTGTGGACCATTGAAGCAACATTTTCACGTCTTCACTCAAGTCCGATTTGAATTCCTCAGATTTAAACTTGTGAAGAACCACTAATTTTCGTAAGATTATAAACAGATATTGATGACTATTTTTGACAACTTTTAATTTCATAACTTCCTGTCTATTGTTCTCGATTATACTGAGGTACAAACTAAATTGATTAAGCTAGTTTTGGAAAGCTTATATCAATAATTGATGCATATGTTATATTTCTACACTCAAAACCCAATAAGTTACTCTAAAAACAACAAAATTGTTTGATTCAGCGGTAATGCTAATCATTGTGAATTAAATTTATTTACAGCCAATAGGAAGCATAAAAAATGACCAATCAAAATTTAACAGCAAATGCCCAATCAATTTCATCCTAGTTTATAACATTGCTTATGCCAGGTCACTTAGTAAAAAAAATAAATACGGTGCATTGTTCATCTATATTTTTTCTTATTGAAATTCATTTTAAAAAATGATTGTCAATTTGAATTTAAATGTTTCTATCACAAAACTAACCAAACTCAATTGAATTATAAATATGGTTATAAAGTTACGTTTTTGCGCGTACAAAAGATGAAAAATATGTTCATGGTATTCATAAAATTATCAGAAATCGTTCACTTATTCTGAAATATAAACAGCTGTTTATTTTACCAAATTATTCTACCTTTCAGTGTGTTTGAATTTTACGTAAGTAACTGGTTTGCATTGTTAATAATAATATTAAATGTCTTAACTTCCTTTCTCACTAAAAAGTGTATTAATATATTTGTACTGTAACAGTGTCGTATGCTAAGAATCAATAACAAGGTTCGACTTCATAATTTCAAATGAATTGAGCATTGAGTGAATTAGTCTTAATAAAAAATCACATGTTTATGATATTTCAACGGGTGGAACAATTGAATCTGTGGCATTTCGCTGCTGAGCACATATCACTTCTTCAGAGAATAGCTAAAAAAAGAAATAATCGATCTCAAACACCCAAAAAATATTCAGCACGAACCTAGAATATCATAAAATGAAATTACACTTCAAATGACAACAAACAGCTTTTTTGACAATTCAGTTACGATTTTGTATATTATTTGAGGAAACGACTTACATCAAGTCACAAAAGGAACAAAATTTAATTTTCTACTCATTGTGATATTGTACGTTATTTTTCATTACAGTGTAATATAGTACACTCAGTATTTAAACTTGAATTAGTATATTTCTTTTCAAGAACTCATGATTTGCTCAAATTGCCACTGAAACATATCGTCTGCTACTGATTAACAGTAGATAATACTAACTACAGTCGATTTAAATAATTCGATAGTTTAAACATTGATTAAAGCTTTATCATTTCATTGAATACTGTATGGTTCATCTTTCTCTTCTACACAAAAATATTACATAGTTCGAATGAAACTCTTATATGCAATTTATTATATTTACTATGGCGTCGACTGTAATAAAAAAAATACTGATTAACTTCTTTCATGTTTGTAGGCTAAAATTAATTAGAATTATCGTTTATCAATGTCCATGTAAATAATCAATTTGTTTTCTTCACTATAATTATTGTATCTCCATATGAGATTTTATGAATATTCAGTATCGACAAGGTTTTTTTTAGTGAATTATTATAAATTTTATAGGTTCATGATCAGATGTTAATTTTAACAAGGGTCTTTAATAAAACATACTTTCATTGAATCAATTCAATACATTTAAAATTATTTACCTTAGAATATATTTGGTATTTTGATAAAATGTATATTTTGGTTTTAGGGACTATAGTGTCTGTTTGATTGAACGTCACGTTATATACGGAAGTAAATACTATTGAACTTTAATTTTAAAATTTATGTCGCCTCTTTTAACTCCATTAATCATACTTACACATTTACAAAACTTATTCACTTACAATTTTTCTAATCTATTAAGATAGTTCAATGAGAATTTATTAAGTGTTATACGTGAAAGAAAATTACAAAAATGTCACGTTGTTGAGAAAGCAATAAGAAAAATTAATATAGAGGTTTTTGATATGAACACTGTTGACAACTATATGAGTTCTTCTAGGAAATAAAACGTATTCTAGAATTCATATTTAATATACGAAAATAACTGTTGTAAAACATCATAGATTTGACATGAAAGGTGAAAATATTGAATAAAAGTCTCAAAGAGGCCATAGGTAATTTAAAATAGATATGTAACACTGAAATTAATCAGCAAAATAGTGATTGGTCATAAAAATAAATTTTATCGTGAATGTACGTAGGCAATTTACCGATCAATAAAATGTTGAGTAGTTAATGCTAATAATGGATACCCTCGTTGCACTACCTCTATAAATGTCCACTTAATGCACTAATACATTTTCAGACGGATTTTCAAGATAGCATCATTAAAAGTCTTAACTATCTATTGTTTTTCTGTAAACACTTGGAAATCTGAATTTAGGCATCTGAAAGTAATTAGTTAAAATACTTGCATTTAGATTTCGCGATCATTAACATTCACAAATAAACAATATACACAATCTTGAGAAAACTGATGATATGGATGAAATATCAGTTCGTGTTGTGCACTGTCTGTTAAATTCGTTATCACTAAACCAATTAGTCTTCGATTAGCCGGATGTAGATTTGAGAGATGAACACTGTTTGATCACTTAATGAAAACCAATGTACACCAGTATTTATATTAGTAGTAATCCTAGATATAGGAATCGCATAATTTTTATCATTTGTATACAAACAAAAGGTAACGTGTTTGTGTCTAAATGCAGCAGAAGCTAAACAGGTGTAAGATGCATTAGATCCAGTTATTATTATTGAAAGTTGAATAGCAACCTCTTAAGTGTTGAGCAATACAGAGTGAAAGTTTACTAGTTGTGTAGTGAACGATAACACAAGTGGAGACACACCACAGTAGGTTGAAGATTATTCTATAATTTTTGTACTTATCATTCATCATTATTTTCCAAACTCTATCATGCTATACATGTCAAACTATATAGCTAACATTATTTATTATTACGATGAATGTCAATTGTGATTAATCGTTCTTTCATTTTCTTTTTTTCTAGACTTGTCAAAATATCAAGACGTTAATCAACATAACACCAATACATCTCATCTTTAAACACACTATTGAATATTTTCTTGAACATTTGATAAGTAATAATTAAGCAGAACTTTTAAAAAATTCCGTACATTTCGATGTTTCACACTGAGTTACTAGCTGTGATCCTCTTATGTTTAGTAATATTTTTCATAGCTCTTTGGTATTTAATATTTTATCCCGATTCAAGACAGATTATGAAAAGTACAAGACGTGTAAAATCTATGAATAAACAGTCAAATAATAAAGACGCAAGAAAAGAAATTGCCCGACTTTATAGCTTCGATAAAAATGCCTATCAAGAGACGAATCTTTATTCATGTGGTATTAGTAGTAATGAACATTCGAAATGTGATTCATTTGGTAATGCAAGTTTAAAAACAATCAAAGAAATGATGAGATTTAAAGAAAGACAACAAAGATACAGTTTACAACAGATGTCATCATATCAATCAAATGAGAATGATCATAGATTACCAGTCGCCAGTGATAAAAAAACTAAACTTATTTTTGGTTTAGATAATCCACCATTGAATATTACTAAACTTCAAATGGTACAACCGGATTATAATTTAGTTACGAAAAAAGGGAAATTAATTCGAGCATTCTCTGAAAGTTGTACGACTAAATGTGCAAGTCACACTAGTAGTATCGGTCATGAGAATGGTGAGATAAGTGACAATAAAACATCAACATCATCCGGTAAAGAAACACAAAAAGGAATTCATTTAGCAAAGTTAAGTGGTTCAGATCTTGCCAGGAACTTACAGCCTTGGCCAAACCGTACAAAATTCAATAAATCATTATTTCGAAGTGAAAAATCATTATCATCATCAAGCGAATCTGTATGGTCGGATGTTAAACGTCGCTTAAGTAGTACTGAAAAAGTTTTCGACCCTGTTATGCGTATCTTGTCTACAGTACCGTTGAAAATCAAACCGATTTAGACAATACATGGACAAATTTCACAATGAACCCAGATACAAATGGACATATATGCTTTTCATTGGCGTATACATGCACTGTTGGAATACTGAATATAACAATTAACCGATTAATTGGTGTTAGTAACCTTATTAAAAGTTCAAATATTTTACCAAGTCAATCACCAACTAATTTTGTTGTAAGTTTACGTTTAAGACACAATAAAAGTTCTACAATTTATACTGAAGAACAAGATGAAGACAATGAAGGGAGAATAAATTCACGTAATAAAAGTGAAGGGTTCCATAAAAATTATTTCACACAACCAGTTTTAACTTCATTAAACCCAAATTTCGATCAATCATTCCTATTTTCCGTCACAATGAATGAATTAGATAGTACTGAATTAGTTTTGACGGTATTACAGTCAACAACAGTGAATAGTTCTACTGATGAATTTGCCAACTTAAATAATAATAGAATACCAAGACGTAATAATTCCGTCGTCTCATGTCATCATTTCTATCCCTATGGAAATGATAGATGTTCACGTAGAATGAATATGATATCTGAAGAGATGAGATGTATTGGTGTAACATTTTACAAATTAAACCAACATGAATTGATTAATTGTCCCGAAAAAATGCAAAATATTTGGCAGGAATTACGCAAATTACCAGAGTTACAAAGTAGACAGTCGAAAATAGCAAGTTGTGATAACAATGATTCGATAAGTGGTCCAATAAATTACAAATTATATCCATTCATTACGGAAAATGAGGATCGTCAAACAAATGAGTTCGGGGATGGAAAAACTTTGGTAAATGATGTATTATATTACTCAGATGTTTTCAAGTAGTCATCAAAGATTAGTTACACTTTATTATAAGTATATCTGATCGATTGACTAGTTTTAATAGTAATAGTAGTAAATGAGAAAGCAGTCAACTATTCTCAACAATTTCAGAAGAAGGTATCCTCCAGAAAATTTCTGAAAACCACTACATGTATGAAAGAGGATCGATGATGAGTTGATGCATAAGGATGATTGGTTGCACAAATCATGAATCACGGATTCCATATGAATATTGGTGAGATGGCTTCCATAATCATGAAGGACTAAACGATAACCAGTCGTAGTAACACATTTAAGTGCATTTTATAAAATGCACTAATGGAAACGTTCTAACTTACCTTAAAGAATCATAGACATTTTAATAACACTTTCCCGTTTCTAGTTATACGACTCAGCTATGGTGTTTAATACAAAAACCAGTGTTAAACAAGTTATGTTTAAAATGGTTGACTAATGTTTATGCAGAATACATATTTTTTTACTGTGACTACGATTAATAACAAGTGTAATTTGAATAAATAATTACTAATTCGTTAGAGCCATGCTTTCAGAGATTGCTCAGGGAACCTAAATATTATACGATGTAAATACCGATCAGGAAAATACAAAATTAAACAACTAACATTCTAACCGCTTATTAAAATTCTTTCCAGGTAAAGTTGTATAGTGGCTAACAGTGGAATCCAGGACGCGCGTTTCGTCTCACTTGGGAATCGTCAGCTGGATGTACCTGCTAGCCACTATCCATCTTTGCTTATACAGCTTGTGAATTAAGGTATTATCGAGGCTATACGCACAGTATGCACATATGTCAATAACAGACTGATCAACTGCAGTCTTAAATCTCCATCAGAAGATTGAAGCAAAACGATACCAAGTGAATTCTTTTCAGGTAGTTTAGATATTCAAATTTATTTCAAATAGATTTATTTCATCAGTTCTGTGCTGCAAATTGAAATGAGACTAATTAACCAAAAGTAATTTTACTTACAGATAACTACTAAGTTACTAAACTAAACCTCAAGGAATATTATTTTTTTACACTCAACTATTTCAAAATTAGACTAGTCTTTTTATACATAATTACATGTGATTATATCTGCTGTCGCTTTTGAGTTAAATCAGCCGCATTTGTCACAGATTTTAGTTACTTCAGAGTATCAGGAATTCTTTCATGTAAATATATAACACATTAAAATTTAAATGAAATTCTCGAAATAATTAATGTCAATATTAACAAACAACAAATTTATCTATAGTTGAAATTCAATTTAATCTAACTATTTGATTTTAAAAAAATTGTAACGAAACTGTTAATAATCTCTTTTTTTAAGCAAAGATTGACAGTGACTAGCAGTGGGATCCAGAACGCGCGTTTTGTCCTATTTCGGACTCGTCAGCTAGATGTGCTTGCATCTAAGAGTTGATGTTCACTCCAGGACTCGAACCCAGTACCGTTCACTTCAAACGACATCGCGTTCTCCACTGAGTCCTGTTATTTGACGCTTCAATTGATCAGTCTCACGTTTGCATGTGTGCATCATGTGCAGATTACCTCAATAATTCACAAGTCCTGGATTCCACTGCGAGCCACTATCCATCTTTGCTCAAAAAAACTTGTGACTTAAGGCTATATCGAGGCAATCCGTACAGGATCTACATATGCGAACATGAGATTGATCAACTGCAGTGTTAAATAACAGTAAAAAGATACAAGTAAAACAACGCCAAGTGAATATTAATAATCTTATTTCATCTTGTGAGCAAAAACGAAAATACAGCAAACTGACTAAAGTAAATCTTATCTAATTTCAGTAGTTCAGTCAAACATAATATATTTGGTTCGATTACTTGTGTAAGGATAAACAATGTGATACAGATACACTTGGGTAACAAATACTAAATAGAAATAAATTAATATACTGGATTTCAATACCGGTCTATATATTTAATTACTTTAATTACTTTCACAAATAAGTTCACTCACAGAAGAATCAATGCAGTAATATTTGGAAATGATTAAAACCGTTAAGATTAAAATGTTTATTTATTAACTTTCGTAATGTTGATACAATATGGAAAGATGATCAATTAAATAGTGATAAAAAACGTTTATAATGTTAAGGCGAATTTTATAGTCACACAAATAAATTGCCAAATATTTTGCATTATTTCTACTTAAGGTATTGCTTATATTTCAGTCGAATATTAGTTCAGAAGTTTCGCGAATTGAAGAGTTAAAACAATCAATGGTCAAAGTAACTATTCAATATAAAATAGACTCTTCTATCTTAGAAATTTATATAGAAGAGATAAAAAATGTCAAAATTTTAAAAAATGAAAGTAAGTTATAATAAATCTTCTAATACTTTTCAATGCGGAACATATTTTGTGAAAATTAATAAAGAATTCAAACAAATCATTTTAAAATACAGTGATGATAAGCGACATTTTAGTGCTCAATGATATACAATTTGAACAGATGTAATCCAGTAATTATTCTTAATCTTGATAGTTGAGATCATGAGTCAATGGAGGCTAGGCCAACATGGAAAACCTGGAAGCACTGGATGGCCGTTTCGTCCTAATATGGGACTCCTAAGTAGTGCGTATCCACGATCGCGCCCAGCGAGATTCCAACCCAGGACCTATCAGTCTCACGCGCGAACACTTAACCTCTAGACCACTGAGCTGGTCGGCATTCGACAGTGTTAAACTCTAAATTCAACCGATCCACGAAGTTGCACCGACGTACACCATTGTCTTCAGTGAATTACTATCTCACAACAGATCCGGTTGATTTCTAGTGGTCACTGGTTATTTTTAGGTAAAACAGTGAGATACTGGGCAATAATGTCAATCATGTGATGTACGAAATATCAATAATCAAACGTGAAATCGATAGAAAATAGAGCTTTATTCATGGGATAAATGTTGAAAAAGATTATTGATTTTGTAAAACTTACGTTAGCATCAATAAGTAATGTAATAGTTAAATGGGATAAAGAAAACAGTATATATGTTGAAGAAAAATAAATATCAAATCTTTGGAGCGGAAGATAAATTAAACAGTTTACTTATTCGAGATTAGTTTGGTTTATAACACTTTGGGTTCAGAATAATGTTGACATTATAGTTAATTTTATTGTCTGTTTAAGGTTGAAAGACTATCGAAAGCGTTTGATTTGTTTATCAGAAACAAATTTGATTAAATAAAATCAATACTAAAGAGTCTTGATAGTATTATGTTATTACGTTTTTAACAGAAATTAGATAATAGATGAACCTTTAGGATAGGGTATTAACCGGGTTAGAAGACTGAAATTTCAACATTAGGAAGGAGTAAAGTTAACAATGTGCCGCTGTGTGATCCCTATCTAGTCATAAGTTCATATTACAAAGAAAAAGATGGAAACAGAGATAAACGAGTAGAGAGATCTTAATGACAAGTTCAGGATAACTCTTTTCATGTATGTTTTTTGATTTCTTCACAACGAAATGATTGATAGAGAAGACTTAGTAAATAGACTTTTGTTATGCGTACGCTACTAAAATAGTAAAATGATCGATCGACCTAAGATAAAGTTTACGATTAACTAACTATAACGTAAGAGATTCTTAATAGATGTTTGCACTGTTATAAAGGCCTAAATGATCATTGCAAAATTAATCTTTTTTATCTAGCTTACAGATGACAGTGTTTTAACACGTTAGAGCACTACATACATACACCACAGCAGCATTCAAAAAAGAATCGATCTATGAAACATTGTCTAAGATTTTATGTCAAAAGATGTAGATGATCTCATAAATTGTTTCAACTGTGCGGAGGATAAATTTATTTTGGAATAAGGAGTTATGATAAGAAAGGAAACAAAATATTGAATAGGTTCAAGTAACCGTTTAAAGATGGCAAGCAAGGAGCCATACATACTAGTTGTATTTCCTATATTGCGTCAAGTATAGTATGGAAGAGATCAAAATTTGATATGGATTGTGTATCACGTTAACTATTTGCTATAACTTCAAATAATAAAATTATTCTGAACCATTCAAAATCCATGCAGCATCTGGACGACATGTGTGTCAATGTTAAGCATAGATGTTTGTGCATATTACTAAGCATATGGCTCTCCATCGTGAACAAAATTTAGCTAGCTAACAGTTGAAAACAGCTAAGAAAGGTATAACTATTTCGTACTACTGTGGGAATGCTCTATTTGGTATTTACAGCTCCTGTCAAGGATCGAACGTATAGTCTTCAAGCTTTGTGGCGAGGGTTTAGCCCTTATACTGATGAGTTAACATTTAGTGGTTTACATTTATAATAATGGTAAATTATAGAAGTTTTAGTTAGAAGACGTGACTAATGAAGTTCAATTAGTCGGTAGTGCGACAAAAGTCATCAATGGCACCGGATGATGACCTCGTAACATTGTGGATTGAGTTAGCTACCATTTTTTCAACTTCGTTAACATCAATACATCGTTCAGTTTGTTAGTGAATGGTGAAATATGGAAATTATCTGGGGACCAGTTGAACGGGTCCCTAAAAGATTGGATTACAGTTTCACATCTTCCGGTCCAATAGTAGATCAATGTCTGATTCCGCCGATCCTATGTAACTGGCAAATTATTTTTAATCTTAATCTTCTCAGCTCATTCGAATGGATTTTTCTTGATCAGTATAGTTGTTATCTTTCCTATTTTTGTCATTTCATTGTCCACTACTACTCATGATCATTTAATCAATCTATACATAAGTTGCTTTTACAAATCATTGTGCTTGGCGCCTATAGGGATTTGTTAGTTTTGTAAAGTCTGCTGGCTTCCAATTATTTAAACGAAAATTCAGAGATCACTCAAAACACTTGGATATGAACAAGTAGTTAGTATCACTAACTGCAGCCCATAAAATACGGTAGTCTATTGGGAAAATCCACTCATGGTGGCATATTTTGTCCTTCCTTTTATGGGAGCTGTGAACCGGTCAAATGGTTGTACTTGCATCTGAGTTGATATTCACTCCAAGACTCGAACTTGATATCGTTCGCTTCAAACCTTGTCGTGTTATTAACAAGCCAGTGGTTGTCTGAAACCAGTAATTATATAACGTGATGAAGTTTGAAACAAACGATACTGAATTAAAGTTCCGTGGTGGACTGCCAGTCTGGCATGCAGCCGAATCCAGGTGACTAGTCCTCAATAGGAAGAAACACGAATCCTGGATTCCACTGATAGCCACTATCCATCTCTGCTTATAATGTTTGTGACTAAATGTCAGTATCAATGCAACCCTCACAGAATGCGTACACAACAAAAGAGACTGATCAATTGCAGTCCTAAACATCAATTGGGAGATTTAAACAAGTAATGCAAATGAGCTTAGTATTTTTTTACAAAGTCATTACATATTAACTTTAGCCCTCTATTTATAATGTTAACACTATTAACATTTTTTCTAGTTGAAATGATATTTCAAGCATTATTGTGCCTTGGTAATACAACCTTATCCATTGTACGATGCAAACCAATTCGACTTGTTAAGAAAAAATCATATAATGAAGAGAATAGCATTGATCAAAGTGACCTATTCTACATTTGCAATCATATTTCAATTCCTAATGATGAACATGTTTCATTAAATGTAGATGTGAATCGATTACTAAACTATAATAATATTGGAATAATATTACAGATATTTACCCGAACAGATACATCGAATCACTTAAGACATGTGGCAAATATATCAATTGGTGTGACTAAATTAGCCGATAATTTAGCATCAATTCAATGGAATGCATTAATTAAAGAATTAAAACAATTGCAAAGTAATAATCAATTATTTGGTTCAACAAAAAAAATCACTTATTGGCATTTAATGGAATCATTTTGATTTGGACTTTTTTTCTCTTTTTTTTTCAACTATTAAAAAGAAACATATTTGAAATATAACAGACATTTAAACAAATCAACAATTGACAATTATTAAAAATCTAATATGTTTCTAAGTTCATAGCGAAAACGTACAAATGCATGCATGCATAGATACGTACATGAATGGATATATAAATACATATATACATAGAAAAGTGAATTCATACATTGAATATACCCCGTGACTTAGATATTTACTATTGTTTATTTGTTTGAGTAGATGAGTTAACTTTTTTTCTAAATATTACAATATTTATAATTATTGAGAATACTGTCTTACCTACATTTTTTCCTCGAATATACATAAAACATTGTAGAGTATAGTTTGGTGTTCATGGCTATAGGTTTATATTTCTGACAAAACATTATCTTTCTTAATATCGAAGATATACCAATACATGAATATAAAACTATGGCCTAGTTTGTTTGAAATTGAGTTACTCAACAAAATTCTTCCTATAAAGTGTATATCTCTTACACTAGATAAATTGTGTTAAAGTTCATAGGAAAAGATCAATTAATGCATAATCAAGGATACCAATAATGTTGGTAGAAATCAAATGGTTAATTAGTGAGTCCTGATCACTGTCATATTATTCTAGTCTTTACAGAGTTAATCGGAGTATGTAGATCTAGTTACAATAAATCATCAGTCTAAAAAACTGGACATTAGATGAACTATTTTGAGGTATTAAATGGCTGGAGGTTAGTCATCAGGAAACCGTGAATTTAGGGGGGAGGCACATTCTTTTGTCGACCGTCTGATCAATGAAAACACGCATTTTACTGCGTAGAATAAAATAATTAGTTTACATATCAAACAGAACATAATAATTTAAAATTGGTTAATATTGATATAAATTTCTAAAAGTAACCCTTGTAGGAATTATTATTATTATTATTATTATTATAAATAATCAGATTTAAACGCAGTCACAAAACTATAATGCGATGGTTGTACATGATTCATAGTTTTAGCCTCAAGCAGTTAATTATTCTCATTACTTATTCAATATTGAAAATAAAACCAGGACTTTACAAATGAAAGTTTTAATTATCCAATAAAAACAGAAACAACCAGATACATATATTTTAAATTTATATCTCATTAAATAAAATTAAATGTAGTGAAAGTTCAACAGTCTCTACAAACTTATATCAGCATTGATAATAATATGTATACTTAAAAACAATTTTGAGATACAATTCTAGTTCTGATGGAAAGCTTCAAACAGTGGAATTTAACCACTTCGGTAGTTAGAATGTAATCCATAATAGGGGATTTAGAATAATTGGGTCAATTGGCACTGCTAAATTCCGGTTCAGACGTTAAGCGTTAGCTCGGTGGTCGTAAACTTTGGGTTCGATTCCCGAGACTTATTTTATAAATATTGATTTTGCTCTGCTTTGAGTATGCAGCTGAAATGAATCGCATTCTAGGTAACAATGTTCACTTCATTCGTTTGAAATGGATAAAGTGGTTCGAAGTGAAACAGACTAAAATCATATAAATTAGGTTTATGTGTTGTATACAGCTATCAAACCCGCTGAATCAATCTTCGAAAATACTTCTGTGTTAAAAACGTATGTGGTATTACATAATAATATATACGGACAACTATCGAAATAGTAAGAAAGTAACTCTGTATGGATAAATGTTTTTTCGCAGTGTTATACACGTTAATTTAGATTACTTTACGGTGGTGTTGAATTGTGAATTGAACGAAGTTTCTAACATATTCATGTGCGTACCTGACATATGATATATATAGTCCGAAGAGTTATTTAGGTTCAAAAACGAAACCTGAAAATGAAATCATTTCCATTAAACTACTTGTTAGTAGTATTGAAAGGTTCTTTATTCCACGCAAAGCTTCATCTTAAACTGTAAGCAAACAAGTATGATCGTGTTAGTGAAAATAAGCACGATTCATTAATTAGGTTGCAAGTAATTATCAGAATGGCATACAATATTTTGTTTTAAAATGGCAAATTAGTAATAACCATGTCAATGATGACTATCTACATATATAAACTTACCAAACTAGTGCAGTTTGTAGAATGTCCAGCCCACTTTACCTCTTTTATTAACAATAGTATGAATCGTTTCAGTAATTAACAACATTCAGACAAAAAACCTTTCTATTAATAGTTTAGCTAAACAGTTTATTTGAAATATTTGAAAAGGAAGGGAAAAGTACAACAATAGAAAAAGAAACATATTGTCAGCAAAAATTAAAAATTCGCAGTTCAGTAGAAACATAATAATTCGTTTTTCAAAACCCGAGAAAATTTGATATCGGTAGGTGAATTGAAGTACTACAATACGTACATAGTTGTTAAGTTGAAGTTCCAATAACAGAACTTACAAACGACAGCAGTAAATAGAAGTGTGGGAAGAATTACAACAAATCACAGGATAAACAAATCGTCATGATATGTTTGTGCATACAGTTGCTGATTCAAAATAACAATTCACAAAAGCAGTAATGATTTTAGAGGAAGAAAAAAGTTCATGAAGTTCCATTTCCATTTCGTGATATGTGTATATTGCTCTAAAACTTTTAGTAGTATAGAATGAGATCAAGAAAACCAATGAAAATAAATGTCTAGAATAAAACAACAAAAAACAAATTGGGAATAAAAACAATGCAAGTTAACATGTCAATGGACAAAAGAATTCAACGTCAAAGCTGGATTTTTTAAAGTTAATTAGTAGCCTAAAACAAAGCTGTGTTCAAAATTCAATTAGTTCAGTAATTTGATGAAAAAACAGATGAAAATGTTATTATATATTTAACGAAGCACTAAGTGCTTTCATCAAACTATACTGAACTTCCTGAAAAAGCTGAAATGGAAAAAGATAAAATTTAGTCCAAGGAAATAAGAACATATTAGTTTCTATCATCTGAGTTTATCCATAATGTGTTTTCAATAATAATTGTATCGTACACACCACTTCTCATAATTTTACTGTTTATTCAGGAAATGAGTGCTGTGTACATATATACTATCTATTACATTTATGCACAATTGTCCAATATGAACATATCTAGTGTAACCTTGTTTAATATTTCATAGGAATGCTTGAGCGTCAGAATGATTCATTTAATGAACATTGGAAAAGTTGTAGGTAACTTCATCCATTATTATAACTAAATAAATAAGTGAAAAAATGACACTGAACTCGTTTGTCGGAATACTGTGCAAATGACCCCTTGAACTAGTAATTTACTGGTGACAAAATACACCGATGAGATGTAACTGAAACCCTAATAAAACTAAATAAATCCCATTTCTCACTAAGATAAAATATAAATAATCAAACTGGTATCTTTTGCTTCATGATTATTAAACTATATACAAATGGTCATTGTTAGTTGTAATCTAACTTTAAACTCAATATTTGTTATTGTCGTCTTATACAGTTTATAAATTGAAATCAACTAATTATAAATTCATCGATCAACCTTATAAAGAAAACACCAAATTTGTATATCCATGTGTAGTGCGTTGTGATATGTTATGCTACTCATTCAACCATATGAACAAATAAATAATAAATTTGATCTTTTATTGTTCTGATTTGTAGTTCGAGAATGTTGGAGTTTGTATTTTTCATCGACCTTATAACTAATACAATAATGAAGTTATTTACCAAGTGTTGATGATGAAGATATAAAATGGTTTCACTTCAAAACAAATGAAGCCTTCAGAAAAAAACGATCTTCATAAGTTCTTGATTAGTGGATAACAAAAGCTTTTAAATATGACTTTACAAAGATGAAACGTGCAACTGCTCCAAGTAAACTAGTTTCTAGATTATTAAATACTGTACGTGTCATAAACTATTTAAAAAATAACCTCAATCTACGTATTTTAATTGTGTCTATAGCACACATAAAAAATATAGCAAAGCAAGAATAACAACTACACTACTTACCTTATCAATTTATTAAATTCTGAATACGTGGTATTGAATTCAGCTGATTCTCTTCATGATTATTACAACTAAGCATTATAAGAAAATTGTTCCTGACGTGTAAGATCATTTTCAAAATTTAATCCGATGTCTTTGGATTGGTTGTTAAATTTGGATTTGATGACGTTACGGACATTGTACGTTTCATCGTAGACCCGGCATTTATATTAAAACTGATACTTTCGCCTGCTGATTCGTGTGAATTAGTCAGAGATAAAGGCATGACAGGATGAAATGCAGTCATATTTGAATTCATAGCGGATGCAAGCTACAATGTCATTTAAGTAGTTGGTAAAACATATGGTTAATTTGTTCTTAATGCATTAATTGCTATAAACAATTATGTTTTAGCGTCTAGTTCAGTTTACTACATATTTGGCAATAATATACATCCAAAAATCAAACTGTAGTAACGTAATTAGCAATAAGTTCTAAGCTTTACAAGATCAACTGGAAGACGGAACTAGTGTGGAGGACAATTGGAAAAGGATAAAAAACCATTAACTTCAAAGTACCAAGAAGTGCTGAGCTCCAAGAAACATCAAAATGAATGGATCGCATGCCGCATGTTGTATTCCGGAATATTTGAGAGGAAGAACAAGTGCCGATGGATTGGAATCGAGGATACTTCATCAAGATACCAACGAAAGGAGATCTGAGCAAATGTGAGAACTACAGAGGCATCACACTACTATCAATGCCAGGAAAGGTTTTCAACAGTGTTGCTGAACTGGATGAAATATTCAGTAGACGCCCAACTTCATAATCAACAGGCTAGATTCCATATGAATCGGTAGAGAACAGACCAAAATGCGAAACTATGGGTCGTTGATGAGCAATCAGTAGGATAAAACCTTTCACCAAACATCAAATTCTTTGCCTTTAAGAAAGTATTTGACAACGCGGATTGAACGACAAAATGAAATGTGCTTCGACATTATGCTGTACCTGAGAAGATCGTCGTCACCATGCAGAAT